AAGGGAAAAAAAATTCAGAAGTTCCTTGTCCTAGTTTATTGCAGTTGTTTGAATACCATCCTTGGAAAGGGAATTGTTACTGGGAAACACTCCACAATGCTCTTTGAAATCCCTGGCTGGTATGTTCCAACACAATCCTCACCCAAGGCAGTATAAAACAGCTATACATCCAATGGCCTGTGGTACATCATGTGTTGACCCTCTAGATAAACACTTACCTACCCATTAACCACAAATCTTCGGCAACACATTCTCAAAATGTCAAGAAGCCACAATTGTTCATACCTTTGTCCATATAAAATGCCTTGTTAAAATACAGACACTAGGTTTCTGGTATTCTAATAGCCAGTTGAATAATTCTATTGAAAAAGGAAATGTAAGCTGATAGAATCTGCTCTCAGTAAACCTCTGATCTCTCCCCCTTCTTTCTTGTCTACATACTTAAAACAAAACCATGCTTTTAAACAACTAGGATCTGTCTTTTGCTCAGGAGCAATAAACTCAAGCTTATGATTTCTAGAATGTTCCTCTACTCTCTGAGCAATCCTGGAGAACCAAAGAGTTGCTAGAGTATCATCCAGTGTTGCTAAGCACGAAGTTACTTATCTCCCTTGCTTTAAGTCAGAGGTTGCATCACAAACACCGATAGGGCCCCAATGGGCAACAGAAATGGGCCAAGCGCAGCAGGTCATGCTGGAGGCAAAAAACCGTAAGCCTGGACTAAAGTGGCCATCATTCGGCTCCTGAGAAACCATCATCACATAGTCCAATCAGTGTTTCCAGAGGTCCCCGATTTTTCAAGAGAAGCTGAAATACAAAACATATTCAAATGTAAAATCTCCTTATTTTCAAGTGTTGATAATTAGCTTTCACAATGGACCAAAGCATTTCAAGGGGCAGATATCATACACAGGATCTTTTAAACCCTCGCTCTAAGCTAACAAGTATATTTAGGTGTTTTAAAGGGAGGGGGGGTACCAAAAAGTCAAATGTGGGGCTCTGATTTTCTCTTGAAAAATGTTTATTTTTTATCTCTTTCCAATCTAAAATATTACTCTCCTTGACCTAGAGCACAAAAGTAAAAGGAGTGATGAGGAACCTACCTACTGAGGAAGGAGAAAAGAATGTAACCACCACTCCCAAGGAGTAAGCCTCACACATTCTTTGCTCCTGCTGTAAACACAATGCTGTGAAAAGCTCTTAGATTTTCACTCTTGCCCTTTCTGCACAATAGCACCAGGAGTACATGCATTCCTCCCTGGATACGTGACAGCTCTCCACCTTTCACAATTTGAAAAACCTGTGCTTGCTCTTCAGGCCCCGTCCCTCACCCTCCTCCCTATCCCAGCCAAGACACAGACTACAAATGAGCCCAATGTGCAAAACTGAGCCCTTTCTCCCTTTTGGAATTACAGGCTAAGGAATCTTGCTCACTTTTTCTCATCATTTTTTGAATTGTTTTCTTGGTGACTGGGATCCACTCATGCCCAAGTCATTACCTGCTATCATTATCTCCTAGCATTTTGCAACATTCACACAAAACTGGAAAATCATTCCCTAATTTCTGGGCTTTACATGCGTAAGTCAAATTCCATTAGCAACAAACAGTTAGCATCTAACTTTTAAGTGCCTGATGCTACATGGCATGACAGGTATGCTCTCTATATCCCATAGATGAAGTGCCGGATCCAGGCCAGAAGAGTTTCCTAACACGCAAGCATAATGCTCTATTTGGCACTCAAATACAGAACAGACTGGACAAACAGCCTTTGAAGTCACTTATGTCAGCATCAGAGGCCCCTGGATATGCAGCTAGAATCTAGGGTCCAACTAAAAATACTTAGCCATCCTAGTTCTTGGGAGCCATGTGAGAGGAATGGGGATTGTTCGATGTGTCTTCTATCACGGAAGTTCCACTTGTATGCCTTTGTTTAGTTCAGCACAGAGTACTTAACAAGATATTACAGAATGGAAACCAAGGCCAGGCATCTCTTAAGTTTATTGGAGAATTCTTAGTTGGGAGAGGAAAGATCACAGACAAACAATTCATAAAAGATAAAAGAACAATTAACCGCAAATTATTACAAAAGTCATTTCTGAAATGTTTATTTTGAGCCACTGCAAAAACAAAATTATAGTGCATCCTGAAGTTTGTAGTTTGATAAATGAACATATTAAATGACTGAAAAGCCAAAAAAGTTACTGTTATACAAGGTCTTAATGTAGTAATTCTGCACAAATAAACAGCTACGATTACTCAAAGCTGCTTTCGCTATATATATTAAACAAGAATGTGAATTACTTCAAACACTGCACAAGGAACCGAAGTTAGCAAATCCAGCAATATTAAAACCTGACATTAAATAGTATTCAAACATTAAACAAAAACAAAACAATGAGCTTCTAGAACTACAATCTTACCCATGTGAAAGGAATGTACAGGGATGGTAAAAAAACAAAAAACAACAAAAAAAATCCAATAATAAATAAATAAAGTGACAAGAGTGACCAACACTGCATCTTCGTCTTCAGAGCAGGAACACAGGAAGTGAGTAAATGCGTGCAGGGTCTTTTGCTAAAAATGAGAACAAGAATGCATTTTACTTTTCACTTTAGTATAATCATGTAATTCCCACTGAAACTACTTGTCTTGTGCTGGTGACAGGTGGGCAGGGTTTTAAATGGAAAGTGTTTTCCCTACACCCTGAGTGTGGATGCATTAATATTTTCTTAAAACTGTGGAAAGTTTCCTTTGAGAAATATAAACTTTAAAGCAATATACTGATGGGAAAGTGATAGTTAATTGTGAAAGAATACTATTAGCTAAATAATTAACTAAGAAGGCATCTGACTCTGGACTCTGATGATGAGTCAGGGTGAAGGTTTGCATCTGGGAAATGTGCACTGATGTCAAAGCCATGTGAGTAAATGATCTTTCACTTTATACATGGTACATTTAATAAGTAATTAAATTCTCCTGCCAGCAACATAAAACCCTTATTTAAGCAAAATGGAAGTATTATGAATTCAATTAATTCACATCAAGTATCTGAAAGGGTAAGTGGACATTTTTCAAAGCATAAAGATGTTATCACGAGTATTCATTGAGTAAATATTCTCAAAGGTTTTATTACTCCATTAAATTCTATCAACCATCCCAATAGATATTTTAATTTCCTTTTTTGATTTACAAATGAATCATTCATTTTGTATAAATCAGGAAATATTTTCAAAATCAACATTAATAATATCCAAAATATAAATGTAGTTTAAACGTGACCTGGGAAAAGAAGACTATCAAAGAACTGCTACATTTCAGTCTAAAATAATGTTCTAAAAAACACCTTATCAGAAGGCCTCATTCACTTTCTTTCCACAGATCCTTCAAGGGTTCTCAAACTGATAAACAGAGAATTCAACTCAATGAGCATCACAACTTAACAGTTCTGAGTAAGACATGGTAACTTCATACGGGCCAAAATGCACAGAACGGCAAGATCACAATGTTATAATACAAGCAGGTCAAGTAGACCTGTAACAAAATGAGACGGGTGGTCCTCAACAAACAGAGCTGTTCTGAAGACTGAGCAACCAGACAGACGGAACATGTCTTTGGAATAATCACAAAGTGCCTTTAAAGAAAGTGAGTTTAGACTGCACTTGATTAAAAGATACTTCTCTCCCTACAAGGAGTTTTAACTCACGCTTCTTTTCACATCCGCCAATACTTAATATTTTTCTCTATTCCCCTGCGTGAAACTGATACAAGGGCAGAGTCCCACTAGGATTCTTACCATGCATGCTAACTAACAAACTAACACCTGAAGACTGGTCTGTCTTTATCTCCTGGCTAAATCAGGGAACTCTGAATCCAGCCCAGCTCCAGGTAAATGCAGAGAAAACAAGGACAGGAGGAAAGTCTTACTTCAAAATGATTACTACCATAAGAGAAATAAACATAAACACTTTCAAGCACAAGGTTTTACAAAACTAGTATTTTCACTTTAGTTTAAAAGAAAGTCAGAGTTCAATTTTGCTGTTAAATCAAACCTGTACATATATCGAAGTTATTACTAAACACAGCTTGATAGTTACACACTTGTAAAAATTCAACCTAAATGTAATAATCAGTTAATCCGTGTTATCATCAACAACCCAATTTCTAGCATTTATAAACCCAGCCCAGTGCTGCTGAATTTCAAGTTCTGAGAAGCTAAAGACAGAAACAATTCTGGTTATATACATTTCCTGCATTTCTCCACCTTAAAAAACACTTGAAGAAACTTTAGGAAAATTTATTTTTAAGGCTCACTCCATTTCTGTGTCATAAGTTGGGAAACACCAAAGCTTACAATGTAATCTCAAAATATTTAAGTAGCTTTTGGTATTTTTCTTAAAAAGCAAATTTTACTCTCTCATAAAATACATCTCTCTACCATAATTATTAATTCAAATTAATGTAAGTGCCCTTACTCCTTGCCCCCTGGTGGGTGCTCTGTCTTCCACACTTGGTGCAGCTTCCAAAACAGTCAGTGAGCAGGAAAAAAAAAATGTAATGGAGCAAAACCAAAGCCCCCAACAAAAGGTGATTTACTCTAGATTACAAAATCCACTAATGGGAGAACCAAAAACTCACACACGCATACCCTCACGTACAAAATCAAGACACAATCTCTATTCAAGTCAACCTGCAGTTTCTAAAGACCAAGTAGTAAAAAATGTAGAGCCCAGAAAAATCATGTCAGTTGACTTTACAAAATAGTGTAGATACTAAATACTATTATATAGGGGAGACGGATCCTGGGCATCCCTTCTTTTTCTAGAAAAAGCTTATCCTTGCTAAGAAGACAGTTGTTTGTTTTTCAAAAATCCAATAATGAAAATCATTATTGGGCTTCTCTAAATGCATTTCCATATTAACATTAATTTTTAAAATTTTAACATGTTTTGCACCTTTATTTTCATTTATAGGATAAATCAGGGACCCAAAATAGTAAAAAAAAAAAAAAAAAAAAAGAGAAAGAAAAGAATTCTTACTGCACAATCTTTATAGACATTTTATTTTAAAGCACCTTTTAATGTCAACAGTGGGTTTCTAACCAAGAAAACAGTAAAATAAAAAAGGGCACAAACCCACTAGGCAAATCTAAAGTACTCCTCTATGCGCGTGCGCGCGCGCGCACACACACACACACACACACACACACACTCATATCCATGCCAGATGGATTGGCAACATTAGCAAATAATGTCATTTGATGAAAGCCTGGGGAAACTATCATTTACAGTATTTAGAGAAACCTAAAATACAGTTTCTAAGAAATTAAATAGTTTGGGGGGGATTCAAAAAGCTACCAATAGCTGAGCTACGAAAATAAAATTGACTTTTAAAAATAAGAAAACAATTCTATCGGGAAAAACAAACCATCAGCCTCAAAGCTATTATGCCAGATTAGTTCCTAACAGGATTGCATTTGTCTGCAACGTCCTCAGCCGCCTGGGTGCGGTTCATAGCAGCACTAACTTGGATGCAGAAAGAATGCTGTCAGTCCGTGTCCCTGAAAACCTCACAGTCAGACCTTCCTTCAAATCAACGTTCTTAGGGTCTTAACACACTACACACGTGTCTAGAAGAATAAATGAAGATCATATTTGACAGAGATTACAAAAGTAGGAACTATATACAACGTGGGATGACGGAATGCGCTTTTTAAAAAGCTCTACTTCCCTCCCTGTTCACTGTAGCTGTTAACAGTCATTTTATCCTATGCGTCTTTATCTGTTTCTTCCTCTCCCCAAACAGTAAAATGTACCGGCTGCGAGTCTGTTCTATGCATTTTCCAGGAGCCAGTCAAACAGCGACTTGCACCTCTCCTCTCCAGGCGACTTCTCCCGCACGTCGTAGTACTGCAGCACAGCCTGCACGAGGTCCCCCACCTTCCATCCCTTTCCTTGCAGTCGTCTGGAAAGCTAGGAAGAAAAAAAGGCATGTCCAACACTAACCAAAAACAGTTTCCTAACAATGAAGTTTTCGTTTTTATTTTTAATATCAGATAACTGTAAGAATCTTGCTGCCTGTGGTAAAATATTATTCCCGTTTTATAATGAAGTCTTCTCCACTAAATTATCACCCCTTTACACAAATTAAACCCTTTTGCTTCCTGCCTTTCACAAACACATCTCCTCTACAGAATGACACTTTGGGACTCTTGGGAGACAGAGCTCCATAAACCTCACCCACCAGAGAGTCTGTGTGGGAGTCTAGTCTCCTCCACTGCTCTACCAAATTCTTGACCTAACTAAATACACCTGTCACACCCTCAGTTAGGAACATAAAATAATAAAGACAATGTCAATCTTCATAGAATGATGTGGGTTTTTCCTTTTACAGCATGTAGTGTGGCTTTTTTCTGGAATACATACTCTGGCCTCGACGGAAACACGGCTTTCTAAGTTAAGAAATGATAATGTTTCAACAAAAAACAACCAAAGTAAATAAATATTGTGGTAATCATTTCATAATATATGCAAATATCAAATCATTATGTTGTATGCCTGAAACTAATATGTTATATTTCAACTACACCTCAATTTTTTTTTTTAATGTTTTATTTATTTCTAGGAGAGAGAGAGAGAGACAGCGTGAACAGGGGAGGGTCAGAGAGAGAGGGAGTCACAGACTGAAACAGGCTCCAGGCTCTGAGCTGGCAGTCAGCACAGAGCCCGACGCGGGGCCCGAACCCACGAACCGCGAGATCATGACCTAAGCGAAAGTTGGACGCTTAACCGACTAAGCCACCCAGGCACCCCTACACCTCAATTTTTTTAAAAAGAAAATACAGGTTTAAATAAACTCTATTGTCCACAGAATCAGAACACATCTTTGCTCATTTTTTTCTATTGAATTCTATAAAAACTAATTTTTTAATATAAATATGCTGAACCTTTTAAAAAAATATCCTTCCAGAGATATAATTCACAGACCATACAATCCATCCACTGAAAGTGTACTAGTCAGTGGTTTTTAGTATACTCACCACGCTGAATGCAACCCTCCCCACAATCAATGTTAGAATACGTTTAACCACACCAAAACAAAAGTTCTACCCATTAGTAAATAAGCCCCATTTTTCCCAAACCTTCAACCGTAGGCAATCACTAATCTGCTTCAGTCTCTATAGATTTGCCCATTCTGGCCATTTCATGTAAACGTAACCATAATATATATTGTCTCTGATGACCAGTTTCTTTCACTTAACAGAACTTCAAGATCCCTTCATGGTGTAGCATATATGTACCATGCTCATGCTCAGTTCTACTGAAGGCCTTCCTTAGCTCTCAGTTTATCTATCCATGACTAAACGACTTGAAAATGTTTGCCTCCCTACAGTCAGTTCTAACACTTTTCCTACCCATTCCTTCTCCTTGACAATTCATTTCTTGGGCATCTCTTTCTGTCTTATTTTCTCCTTCTGCTCAAAAACAGTAACCTGAACTAGAAAAATCCAAAAAGTCCACATAAAAACAAATTACAAAATACCAAAAAAATTATTCTTACCAAATACCTTTTTCACATATTTCTTTCAAAAATATCTTTATAAATTCTAAACCAGGAGTCAAGAGTAACTGGATTGTTCCTTCTTTGTTATTAAAGATCAATTTATACTGGTGACTCATTGGACTATTCTATACCCTATTAAGAAGATTAAACCAAAATTCTGATAAGAAAAATTCTGGGACAAAAACCTTAAGACTATAAACCAAAAATCTTGACTAACAAGGTGCTTGGCAAACAGTTAAGTAAATTCTCAATAGAAACCTATTAATGCATCAAATCAGAATGTTCTATTATTAGAACCCTATTAAGTACTCAAAGTGGTCCATGGTCTCTTATAAGATGTTTAAACCTTGACTGACTTTTGAGTATGCTAGTGTCTCCCACTAGTGAGATTGGAGAAACAGGGTAGGAGACACACTAATTACAAGGCACAATTCTGTATCCATTTGAAACAAATAACTCAGTTTCTTCGTATGAACGCATGTAGATTAACAGCACCTAACTTGGAGTACTTGGGATGTGCCAGACACTAGATTAAGCATTTTTTTTTACATACTCACAAACCTCTGTAAGGTAAAGTTCATAGTCATTTTCAGTGTGGATACGGACACTGAGACTGGGAAACCTGCCCATGGTTATGGCAGAGCAGATATCTGGGCCCAGCTAGGAGACTCTACCACCTATGCATTTATGCCCTCTGCTGTCAAGGGGCATCTTACTAGACCAACCATGTGACACAGAACAGCACATGAGGTTAAATGTATCCTCACAAAACTCTGATCAGCAGAGTCCTTACTTGTATAAACTCCTTCTTTGCAGAGTCATGAAGATAAAGTTCTGCCACTTCAGCCTCCGAAGCAACGAGCCACTGAAGAATAATCCGTAGCTGGGGGTCTACTGTGCACGGCTCCATGTCGATATTCGTAATGAGCAGAATCTTTCGGTCTTGCTCCAAACCTAATATTTACATTCAAACAATATAAAGTAAAACTTATCAATTCGACTCTCAATACTCTGGTTTCCAATGGTAGAGAAATATTTTCCATTTCTTAAGATTCCACCGAATGCTAGGAAAAAATCCATCTGTTTTTACCCCTATCATAACATCAACTAAAACATTTATTTGAAAGGGCAAAATAATTCTACAATAAAGGAGTAACACTGATCATCTACTAAGCATAAATATAAAACTGTTTTGAGGCACTGAATTCAAATACTTTATAAATGCCATAATTTGTGTCAAAATACAATACACAGGTAAAGAAAGAGAAACAAAACTATGAAACTATAATTACCAACAAAATATAAATGAAACACAAAAATGCAATCTCAAATAACAAATATATTAAATGGGCTTGACGAAAAATTCTTGAGCTGAGAAAAGTAACAGAAGCAGCAAACAGTTGTATCACACATCTTACATCCTAAGTAATGTTCTAAGCTCTTTCGATCTACAAACTCCCGGAATCCTCACACCTACCCTAGAGGTGGCAACTACATGAGGGATGTGAGGCAGAGAGGAATCCAGAGTCCGACAGCAGGGAGGTGGCTGAGCCAGGATGTGAACACAGGCAGTGTGTCTATGCTCTTATTCACTTTATTCCTTAGGCAAAATGGGGGAAAAAATGTCATATGCAGCCACCTATAACCCAAGCGCCAGACCAGGGAATTTTCTGGCACACGCCTTTATAAATAAGATACTGCTCTCAAGTTTCTTTTTTTTTAATCAAAAGTATGTTTTCGTAGGTTTTCAACATAAGAAAGTGATGAATCGCTGCTGATTATAAAACTAATGACCTGTGGACCCATAGCATGTGTTTAACCCTCCTGCGTAAATATGGCTGACCAAAAAGCAAAGCTGAGACAAGGGCCCTCCTACACAAGAGGTGTGCGGTAGGCACACTGTCAGGCATCATGCCAATTTGTACCAGTAGCGGAAATTTCTTGGTGAATGTTCCTGATTCTTCTTCAAGGCATTAAGGGGCATTCTAGATGACTACTAATCATCTTTAGGATGTGTTGGTCCCTAATTTTTTCATTTAAAAACCGGATCCTTGTGCTCGCTTCGGCAGCACATATACTAAAAATAAAAACCAGATCCTTGTTATTCTCTTAAGATAAATGTACTGTCTTTTCCCTCCTCTCCTCCCACCGACTCTCAATCAAAAATGGGTCTAGTGCACTATGGTAGCAGGCGTGGTCTCGGGGGCCATTCAGTAAATCCTGCAAAGGTGATGGGCTTGAAAGACTTCTCTGTATTACTGGCTTTCGCAGCTCAGAGCTCCTGGCTCTTTGGAGAGGTTACTAAACACCAGTGAAAAGGAAAGGGACTGATCTACTGCAACTATAAACAAAAACAAAATGTAGGATTTCCATAATTTTGAATCTTTCTGTAAATCCATCATCTATCTCCTAATTTACTAATTCCTAATGTAACAAATTTGAAAGTTTACCACAATTTTCTACATGATGAGAAGACTGGGATCTCAAAAGCTGAGTGATGGCATATATCTACATAGAATTCATCTGATTTCTATCTACTCACAAAAGAATCTCTAAAGAGCTTTCTAGTGCCTAAACATTTAGAATTAATTTCATATTTCTATTTACTTATATTTTCTTTTCTCTTATTCATTCCTCAGTAAAGTCAGTTAAGTAATGACGAATTCATCAGAATAAAGACTCACCACACGCGCTTATACCATGTATTGCCTTTGGAACAAACTTTGCTCACAGGCATTACTTGGGAAAAAGGACACAATTTTTCTAGACAAGCCAGTACTCTTTAAGTCAACAAAAATAAAGTTAATTATTACCTGTAACTCTAAAACCGGATTTTATCTCAAAAATTGGTACATGACTTTCCTAAATAAGGAAGGCATAATTGGTGATAAAACAGATTGGAAACTCAGGTGTTATGAAAGTATTTCAGTAAATTCATTTGTGAAATTTTCTGTTTGCCTACTTGTCAAGAAAGGATAAAAAAAGTCACTAGTTCAAAACCAAGTACCTCAAACACTATGAATATTTTTAGGTGTCACTCTATAGAAGAGATTGTTGGCATTTTCATAATTAAAAAAATAAGATTTTTGGAAAATAAGTTAATAGCCATCTAATTACAATGAAAATTCAGCTTCAGCACAGAAAGTTTCTATGTTCACTCAGATATTCTAATATATTCGAATTAAGAATTATAAATGATGGCCAGAACTCCGTGACCAATGGTATCTAGAATTTACATATTTAGAACTATGTTCATCAAAGGAAGAATTGAGTATTTTCTTAAAATATGTACATGTGTGAGTTTAGGAACAGAATTGAGGGAGAGAAGAATTTATTTTAAAATATCTTTTAATTTTTATTTACTGATTTATGAAAGATCAACATTAAACACTAATTGTAGAAGCTACTAGTTTGGAAGGAAAAAAACTAGGGCATATGCCATAATTAAATAAATTATATCTTATCATGTAAGGGTTTTATGTTTTTAAGAAGATAATTATACAAAGAGATTATCATAAATTTTCCTCTCAAATAATTAAATAATTATTTTAAAGCATTTCAGTCTTTACACCAATGGGCACTTCATTAGTTTAGCAATTAAATAGTATAAATTGTTCAACAAAGGACCTGTCATTGGATATATTAGTTCAAGAATATCCTGATTTGTACTATAAATACCCTGATTTATAATAAAACTGAAGACTGACAAAAATGCGTAAGTTAAAGACTCTTCTAGAACTTTATATAAAAACATGCAAACACTTTGAAAAACAAATTGTCAATTACCTTCTATATCATCCTCATGATCTTCATCTTTATCATCTGGCCCGTCACTTTTCAAATAAAAGAACAGTTTAAAAAAAGGCTTCAGTTAATATTAGAATTAAAACTAATTCTTAAAACGTGGTAAGGAATGAATGTTACGATGATATATGACACTTATAAAGGGAAGAAATGCCAATAAAAAAGGAAGCTTTGCTTCTCACACCATTTCATGTTAAAATCTGAATTGTAAACGATGCCTAGATAGGTCATCAATAACTAAGAGGTTTTACCTTACCGTGATACAGAACACCAAGTAATTTCATGATAAAATTTAATTTAAAATAATTTAAAGCTGAAATATTCTACTGATTCAGTTTTAGATAACACAGCATTTGAATCATCACAGAATGCCATGAATAATTATTAATGCTTCTGCTGTTGCCATGTACATATTTTTAACACAGTAAAAAACACATTTTTCCTATACTTTTCTTATATATGAAATAAAATTACATACAAAAACAGTAAAACAATAAACCAAAAACCCAGAAATCCTGTAGGAAGCAAGCTCTTTTTAATGAAATAATAGTTGGTAGGATGAAAAAGGGCAAGCAGAGCAACACATGCACAGATGTAACACATTTTGCAATTAGATGTCAGTCATGTCTTAGCATAATTGAATTTTTTCATTAGATGTAAATTATCAAGCAGAATCATGTCCGAATGTAGGAGAAAAGCAGATTGAAACATACCGGCACTGTAACCCACATTCTTTTAAGATTATGACATCATGCATTAGTGTGAAAGACTCGTCAGTTTTTAAGTTTCTGGACTGGACCAACCTTTCTGATGTTGGAAAGGATAAATTGTCCTCATACAAATCTCCTTCTAAACCAAGACTGCTCCAGCTACTGCTGTTACCATTACTGCCAGAAGAAGAAAAGAACAGAGCTGAACCAGAAAATGAAAAGTACAGAAGACCTTGGTTTTCCTTGGAACAGCTTCTGTCAGTGATAACTGGGAGGTCTGGGAGCTGCCCGCCCGGCGGAGTGGGGCATCCTTGGAGGTAGAGACCATCACTGCTACTGGAAAAGGTACTTGACAGCTTCGGACATTTGAAAGTTTTCTTACTTGTACTCAACAGATCAGGAAAATTATTCTAAATCTGTATTTATTTTACACATGAGCATAACAGACTTTTAGGACAGTAAATGAATACATGAAGTAAGTTTCACAATTTAATTAAGGTCTATGACAAATCTTGGGATGTAATTTGTAAAAAGCCAATACCCTTCAGTTTGGGTAACATTTTAAAAGGACCACAGGTCAACATTCTCTCAGCTCTTTAGACAGTGCAAACACTGATGGGCTTGGGAGGGGAGGAAATGACAGGCACAAAAACATGGTCCCAAACAGACCTTCTCTAACTACTTGGAGAAAAGGTGTTTTCTAATCTTAAAATACTCTTATTATGTCAACGGCCTTCATTTCATACATTATGTATAATTCAGTAGGGAGCAAATAATATATACTTTCTTCATAATATTGAATAACCAAGGTTTAGTCAAGCAATTCACCTGTCTGGGGGGCCAGTCACTAATGCCACACAGATAACTTCTTGAACTGCCTAACCAGAAGAAGAAAGCAACTAGATTCTCAAACTGTGGCAAAGCAATAAAAAACAAAAAGCAACTGTGTTCAGAAAACTAAGTTTTTCAGATTAAAACCTAAACATGCAATTTAAAATTCTAATCATTAAAATAATTAGTAAGCACATTAGTTCGCAGTGATAAGCAGCTTATATTTCCCCACATTACGCTAGGTAATTATAAAACATTAATATGTATACAAACCAAAATTTTGGTTCTAAAAAGTGAATTAACACAACATCATCTTCTGTGCATCAATAAATGCTCACAAGGTTATCAAAAAAGGAAAAATTATTTAAAAGTTCTAAAGCGTTTCCAAGCAATTTCAACAATTTTCATATCCATATTTACTCTGGCATTATATCAAACTGTCGCAAGCTATAATGTATTAGAAAATAAAAGTTAAAATTGAGCCGTACCTTTTCAACCTAAGTCCAAAAAAATTTGGCTGTATCATAAAACCATGAAAACAGCCAGAGTTTTGCCTATGTAGCCTGTTGTCAAACAAATCAAAAATGGAAAAACATGGAAATACCAAATGAACAGATAGCTGTGAGCCAAAGAGAAAGAAAAAATTGATGATCTCAAATACTGTATTTACCTCTACCAATAGAATGATTTCTTCTAAACAAAGAAAAATATTATAAAATTAAAATTCTTACTCATACCCTGACAATGATTCCTCCTTTTAATTAATAATAAAAACCCATCCCCTAGATTTTATGTGAACATGAAAAGAAGTAACAGCTAAAGAGTTGTAAAGACCAAAAATTCAAACTTCATCTATTTAACCTCATTCCTCCACCTCTGCTGCCCCTCAAAATGGGTCAGATTTAAAGTCAGGTATTTATAAAATGCCATTTCTAATGAGGGTGACCGTAGAATTTTTTGTCTAACCAGGACACTTCTGGAAATGAAAGGAGTCACCATTAATAACTATACCAGAAGTAAACCAGGACTGTCCTGAGCAATGATCATCCTACATTTGTCCAACATAAAGCAACTTAATTTCTCCACTTGAGTCTTCATATTTCATTCTTAAACACTGTCCTGTTTCCATCATTTTCTTTTATATCTTTTCCTACTTCCTATCTATTCCTATTTATGTATTTTCCTTTTATATCTTTTCATATTTCCTATGTCTAGAACGGGCATACCTCCAACCAGTGGGAGTCTATGGCTAAAATTCTTTACTGTGGTTTTCAGCCACATGAAGACTACTATTGGTTTTGATATAGCTCATAAATATTATCTCAAAAATTCTGCAAGCCCGGCCCCACCTCTTACCTAATCTACTACGTGACTTCTAAGATATTCACAGACTGCCTGAAATATTTAAAAGAGACGCATGTACACAGACCAGGTCTTTTTCTGATCAAAAACTATACATTCCTCATAAGGACTTGTGAAATTTTGAAATTATTATTTCTTTTTTAATTGTTGCCCTCTACTAAACTTTCTATTTAGAGGGAAAGCACATGGAGTGTCCAAACTGGAGTCTTTCATCTCCTATCTGATCTCTGCACCAGAAAGTAACAGTTTCTACAGCAGATGTCCTCAAAGACAAAACATGTGCAGCATGTATTTTAAGCGTAGTCTCTGAACCACCTGCATGAAAGCCTCTGAGGTGCTTACCAAGCATGCAGATTCCTGGGACCTCCAATGACCTAATGAATCTTAATCTCCGGGAGGTGAGGCCCTGGAAACTGTATGTTGAACATGCACTCTACCAACCCTGGACGGGCACTAATTTTTCTTGTGCTTGAACCTAAATAACCGCACAGCATAATAGTTATTAAGACTGTGCTCAATTAAAACTACAGGTGTGCTTCTGACAGAATGCTATCAAGCCAAGTTTTTCCCATCCGGAATTCAAACAGGTAATATCTGAACCAAATGCATTTGCTCATGTTAAACATAATTATTTTAGTCTCAGCCTGGTCTTTTTGCAACTTGGTTCTGTTAATGGGATTATCTTTTAATTTTTGTTTTAAGTTATTCACAAATAAGGAGCACAGCAGTCCCTTCTTACCTGTGGAGGATGCATTCCAAGACCCCCAGTGGGTGCATGAAACCACAGATAGTACTGAACCCCATATATAATAGGGGTTTTTTCTTTACATATATACCTACGATGAAGTTTAATTTATAAATTAGGCACAGTAAGAGATTAACAACAAAAACTAAGGATAAAGTAGAATAGTTATACTATATTATAATGAAAGTTATGTGAATGTGGTCTCTCTCTCAAAATATCTTACTGTATGTACTCACTATTCTTGTGACGACGTGAGAAGATAAAATGCCTACGTGTTGAGATGAAGTGCAGTTAATGACACAGGCGCAGTGACATAACGTTAGGTAGGCTACAATGACCTTCTGACAACACGTCAGGAGGAGGGCCATCTGCTTCTGGACCTTGACTGACTACAGGTTACTGAAACCACAGAAAAGCTAAACCACAAGTGGGGAAGGACTACTTATTCTCTAGCACTAATAAATGCTGAAGAGGACAGAACCAAGGACAGAGCCATCAAATCAGACAACATTCTGCACAGAGCTGTCCTACTGGCTATAGGTCCCTTAATGCCATGGGCCACTAACCCTCGTTCTCTCATTTTAACCCCAGGATTTCCAAAGCAACAGCATCAACCCTCACAGAAATTCTAGAAACCTGTGTTTCTCCAAGATGAGAGAAGAATTTAAGTGTTAACTTCCTATACCAGGTTAGGCTTATGAAAGGGGCCACATGATGTCTGTGAAATTACCCCTACGTCCCACTATCACTTTTAAAGACTGCCTTTTGGGAACTTGATTTTAAAATGTATTGGTGGCTTATATAGCATTTTAAGAAACTATGACAGGACAGATGTTTTATAAAAATATTAATACTTACAGATTAATCCAAGCATCAAACAAAATGCTCTGAGATGATGTTTTCCAACAGGTGAAAAACCATTTCCTTTCCTCCCTCCCCTCCTCCCATGGTCTTCTTGCCTCCCCCTCCTGCTAAGTCACTTCCAAGGCTCTGTTCAGCTGAAGCCTCACGGGGTCCCTTCCACAGCCTGAAACTAAGAACCCTTTCCTCTCCCTAGACTCAGTTGTGGAGGACACTTGTTATTTACAATTATCAATTAATGTGGGTAAGAATTTATGGCATTTTATATTTTAGTCAGGAATGCCTTTATAGAGTTAAGAATATAAGAAACGGTTGCCTGGGGGGCTCAGTGAGTTAAGTGTCAGACTTCGGCTCAGGTCATGATCTCACAGTTCGTGGGATCGGGCTCCGGGTCGGGCTCTGTGCTGACAGCCAGCTCAGAGCCTGGAGCCTGTCTTCGGATTCTGTATCTCCCTCTGTCTCTGACCCTCCCCTGTTCACGCTGTCTCTCTCTCTCTCTCTCTCATAAATAAAATAAAAAACATTAAAGAAAAAAAAAGAATATAACAAATGTACTGCAATTAATATAATATTCCAAAGATTGTTATTATGAATAATATTAAGAAAAATTATATATGAGGTTAAGTGCCTTCTGCTGTACAAAACCATATTTTTATGATGAGTTTATGTATTTTGAGTCATTCACATATAAATGCTCCAGGTCATTTTGTTCCTGAATAGCAGGCTAAGTGAGAACTCCTTCTCCCCAAAAGATATTACTTTACCTAATAATAAGGAAATTACACGGCCATTTTGATACCTTTTACAGATAACTATCCTTTACCCCAGACTAGAAAGAAAAAGAAAGACTCTTTTTAAAGGCAAGAAATACATTTTTTCCAACTAACCTTCACAAAAGTCCAGGAAAATCCTAAGGGTATAAAATCAAATGTAGGCAATATTTTTCATATCAACCACTGGTGTACCCAAAGACAATTAGCTTGGCTTATTACTGTATAAATAAATGTGCAAAACCATTAGAACCATATTATGGATAATAAAATACATTTTGAAAACAACAGCAGAATTTTCAAATTCATCATTCTTAAGTACCCAGTGTAAAGCTACTTCTGAGGTCTGAGGATCCCATGTACAATTTCAGTTACCTTTCGCTTAGGTGATGAAAACTGCTGCTCTCATCCTGGTGTTCTTCTTCAAAACTTAAATTGGACCAGCTGCCAGTGCTGTCATCACCTATACTGAGGTTCAGCTGCTGGCTGCCAAGTGACTCAGTTGACTGAACGTCTTCTACTTCTTTTGGACTAGAAGGAAGGGAAAGAGGAAGGAAAAAAAAATCAATCCGAAAGCATCAGATTCTGAATTCTAAGACTACCAATTTGACAATAAGAAGTACAAAAACAAGAAATGATATTCAGAGCCATACCAGTGGCCCACCCAACACTTTGTATCTGCTAATGAAGAGACCCTGCAAGAGTGCACCTAATTTCAAAGTGAACTGAGCTGTATCTGTTACGGATCCATCCCAAGCGCTGCATTTATCTAAACTCTCTTTAAAGCAGTTTCTATTTTCACTGGGACCACGACAGAGGAGCATAAGTCCCTAAGTTTATCACCTGCTTTTAAGGCTGTCCCTTTATTTGTGGTGAGAGGAAGCTCTTTCTGGCTTTAAGAACAAAAAAGTCGTTTGAGGAATTCAACTACCATCAATCAAGCCTATGGTCAAACTAGCCAAATCTCTTTAAAATTCTGAGCACGGATCATAACCCTTCTCATTTTTTTCAATGAAGAAGAGACATTTAGGTTTTTATTCCGTCTTCACAAGAAAGGCCCTTCACTGTTCACTTACTCTAACTGCCCGCTCTATATTTTGTTCTCAACATAACAGTTTAAAAATTGTATTTTTAAAGATGAAGAGGAAAAATGTTAGTCTTTTGATCAAAACCTTCGAGTGGCTTCTCACCAATCAGAGCCCAAATCCTTATACTCACTGGAATGATTCCCTCTTGTAACCTCCATTTTCTTTCACATATTACTCTCCCCAGCTCAACCATGTCAGCCACGCCAGCCTCTGAGCTATTTTCCCAACATACACAATCCTACCCCTTTGCCTGGTACCCTCTGTCTCAATTCCCACATGACTTCTCTCTTCACCTTGGGTTCTTTGCTCAAATGTTACTTTGTCAGTGCTGCTTCCCTGGTTACCTATTCAAAACTGCCAGCCATCCCCACTTGCTGCCACTGACCACCACCATCCCCACCTCACCTCTACCCCCACGTCTCTTCTTTTAGTTTCCCCCCAAAGTACTTATCATTCTGTGACATACTTTGTATTTTACTTCTTTGTCTTATTCCACTGTAACCTAAGCTCCAAAGAACACACATTTTTTTTTTTTTTTTTTTTTTTTTTTTTACTGTTTTACTTATTTCTGTGTTCCCAGTGCCTAGGATAAACCATGAACTGCCCACCCCATTTGGGGCTATCCTCACTTTATATTTAAGATACAGCAACCAGAATTATACTAGATAGGCACATTACAGTTTTGAGCCATAACAGAGCACTCCTTTGCTCTCTTTTCTTTTTAACACTCTTCTGGAATGTGCCACAATCTTAATGGTTTTTTGGCTGAAATGACCCACTAGATGAGGTCCAGAGAAGAGTTTTAATGACTGCTCAGTTATTCTGGCTCATAAATAATAGCTCAGATTAGAGTTTAGATGTTTGCTCTTCTAAAAATGCACTACCATATAATTCCCCATTTGATACTCATATGCCAACCACTCTTCTGTACATTACAGCTCTGTGAAATATTTATGGTTATTTTCATGAATCAAACATTTGCAAGAAAGGAGACAATAGTGAAAGAACCCAGATGATACTTTTAAAAATAAGCCATCTGAATGAATCCCTCTTAAAGCTTCAAAGGCAAACCATTTTAACATCAGAAACAGAAACTGGGAAACAGTACACTATACACACTAGAGTCAACTTTTAAATCAGCACTTACAGAACCCAAGCACAGTTATTAAGAAAAGAAGACAAAAGGAAAAAGAAATACAAAATAATATTCCACTGGCCTTGATAAAAAGTTGGAATAGGACAGCACTAGCTTCTATGAACAAGTCCAAGGGCCTACATACCCAAGGAAGTAAGAAGGAAAGTGAAAATACTGAGCTATCAATAGCAAAGGCATTTGCCAGGCCCTGGGAGGGGTGTCTTACAGACTCTAATCTAGAGGTGAGTCTCTTTTCCTCCCACAGGCTTGGAGAGGGACACAGGGAGAAACATTTAAAATAGCCTGAGGTTAATTTTATTAAGGAATTATATAAGGAAGGTTGCTTCAGTGGTAGAAAAGCCTCGTTTACTACAACTTATTTATCCATATATTTATTAACCACTTATTATTATGTCTATCACCATATTAAGAACTGATAGGTAATCGTGAACAAAGAATGCAGACCTAGGACAAAGGTTTGCAAATTTTTACTGTAAAGGGCCAAAGAGCAAACACTTATGCACTGTTGGCCACAGATCTCTATACCAACTACTCAAATTGGCCACTAAAGCATAAAAGCAGCCACAGACAATGCATAAATGAATGAGCACAGCTGTGTTCCAATATAACTTTACTTTTGAACATAAAATTTGAATTTCATATAATTTTCATATGTCACAAAATAGTATTCTTTTGATTTATCAACCACTGAGGAAATGTAAAAACCATTCTTAGCTCACAGATGATTAAAAATAAAAAAACAAACAGTGGCCAGAATTGGCCTTGGGTTGTAGTGTGCCAGCTCCTGCTCTAGGAGAAAGGAGGCTGCTGGGAGAGACGCCCAGGGACCTCTCACGAGGATGCTGGGGAACAACTGGAGGCCAGGGTCCTGGACAACCTGCATCTGCCTAGTTTAAGATGGCTAAGAAGAGAGACAGACATTGCCACAGCTTTGACAAAACTTGCTAAAAAATCTGAGAAAATCCTGGGACTCCATTAAATTCCACCCCAACCCTAGGAACTTTTTCTTTTCAGTGGGACTGACAAAATCCTACCAACTAATAACAAAGTTGATCCTGATACTTTTCTGGGAGACAAAAAAGGTTAAAAGTGTTAAATCTGAACGAAGGTGTTAGATTCTCTGAGCACAAGACACAGCTACTGAAGAACAGGACTCTGTGAGACTCTCAGAAACAACATCCCCTTAAATAGGGGCCTATCAAGAGAAGTAAGGGGCGCCTGGGTGGCTCAGTGGGTCAAGCATTGACTTCAGCTCAGGTCATGATCTCTCAGTTCATGGGTTCGAGCCCCATGTCAGGCTCTGTACTGACAGCAGACAGTCTGCTTGGGCTTCTTTCACTTTCATAGCCCCTCCCTAACTTGCACTTTCTTTCAAAATAAATAAATAAACTTAAAAAAAAAAAGAGAGAGAGAGAAAGTGGGGCACCCGGATGGCTCGACTTTGGCTTAGGTCATGATTTCTGTTGGTGGGTTTGAGCGCCATGTTGGGCTCTGTACTGAAGGCTCAGAGTATGGAGCCTGCTTCAGATTCTGTCTCCCTCCCTCCCTCCTCTCCCTCTCTCTCTTCCCCTGCTCACTTTTTCTCCCTCCCTCAAAAATAAATAAAATAAACATTTAAAAAAATCTTAAAAAAAAAAGTGATGGCAGCAGTGGAAATCTTCAGAGAATTTTTAAAGCTTTCTTTCTCACAGCAATTGGTTAAATTATGCTCTTTATAAGAAAACGTATCTTTGTAAAGAGAAAAAACTAAAACACTATAAAAAAATCTAATCTCAGAATAGTTGATTACCATGGTAATATTCTATATTTGTTGTATAAAACCCTCCGGCTGTTCCTTCAATCCAACTTTACCTACTTCATAGCTATGTGAACAGGCAAGGTGATCATCCTTGCTAAGCCTCCTTTTCTAGTTCGGGAGATGGTTAACACCTCCCCTCAGAGGGCTGCTGGGAAATGAGACAACACATACGGGGAGTAATGTACAGGATATGAAACAAATCACAAATGTAGTATAGAAAATTTATTGTTAACTTTGGGGTTAAAAATAATTGTACCTTTCTGAATAGGATCTAAGACTCCTATGACGGAGTTTAGCTTTTCATTTTATCGAAGAGAGCCAAAAGAAATCTGAGACTCACCTGCTAACAGCACGTCCGACATTGGTCATCGCCGACGTCATTATTTCCGTGGTAAGGCTTTCAGCAAAGCTAATGCCATCCTGTCCGATCCCGCTATCAGCCGCCAAACTGGTACTGCTCAGTTCTCTCTCTGCTTTTTCAATAGCTTCAGCAACTATCTTCTCAGCAAGCACTGTCTTCTTATCGAGACCAACATGAATTTGTGGGACATCAAGATGAAAAATTCTAGATTCCTGATAGATGTTGCTAAGTTTTGATTTAGAAGCTGGCTGACTAGTAGCAAGTGGATCGGGTCTGGAAACATGTTGAGATGAATTTCCAGTGCAATCGTGCAGTTCTTTACGGTCACAATATCTACAGGCTTGACTTATAAGAGGTGACAACTTTTCTGCATACGTGACCCTATCAGCTGCTTTTGTGGACTCAGACACATGGAAAACTGCAGATCCTAAACTGAGCTCTATAGTATCATCCACTACTTTTTTAGCATACTGTTCTATAGCTTGAACCACACTCTCTCCATAACCAAACCCATTTAAGCTGCCCATGCTGTGGTAAAATCTGTGATTTTGCAAGGAAGGCTGAAGAGTCTGAGGAAATTCTGGCTCAGTGTGCAACTTGGTATCTTCATCGTGTCCAGACGTTTCATAAAGGCAAGAATCTGTTAAGGATTTTGGCAAGCCAACTGTAGACGCGGTCAGCTCTTTTTTAACATCTCTTGTTATGCTGTGAGCAAGAGAGGCTGAAAAACTATACAGTTCAGAGCACTCATTTTTATATGTATCCGGCGTCCATTCACAAGTTTGATTTTTACAAAGGTAACCCCCACTTTTGTTACTTTGTCGTTCATTGTCTACTTCTTGGTGGTGCTCTTTATTTAAGAATATTAAGAGTTCGTTCTTGGCTGTCACCTGTGAGCTCTGCACAGGGAATATTTTGGAGCTGCACTTCCTTTTGGCTGTCTTCGCTGCTGCTTGTAATCCTGACTTAACAGATCGATAGGCAAGTCTATTGGCATACTGGTCCATTATTAACTCACTATTACCACCTTCCTGTTTCAGCACTTGGATAATGTGACCTGCATATTCGTCTGTCACGCTTTCACAGCTGGGATACTTGTATGTCAGACCAGACACGCAAAAACTTGGTGGTAATGAAAGAATGGACGGATCTACTCCTTTGGGGTTTGCTAGAGCCTCGGTATCCAACTTCTCTTCTGATCTATCACCTTGGCCACCATCAATGTAACAACTATTCCTCCTTTGCCTGAAAAGCATACAGCCTCTAACTTTTGCTATTTTCTCAGCTTCCGTAATGACTTCTGCTGCCATGTCACCTGCAAAATTGCGTAACATTTGTAAATTTTCTTCTGAGTGATTTAAAGCAGTAGGTGACCTACTTCTTTGATTCTGCACATTTAAGGAAGGGCTTTTAACCTTGGGTTCTTGAGTGACTTTATTATCTAAATGGGAAGCTGCCATTTCTGTGGCCAGAGAAATGATGTGGGTGGCTAACGATTCTGCAAACTGAACTTTCTTCCCTGAGTGCTCTGACTTCACATCCACTTCTGGATGTTCTTCATCTTCACTGCTTTCAACTTCTTCTGAAAGAGATCGCATGAGTTTCAACATGAACTCTTCTTTCTCTATAGTGTTTTGTTCGTTTTCAGACAAACTACCAACAGAGGAGTTGTGAGGTGTAGAGGGTGGTGTAGCTGGTGCAAATTCTTTAGCTAATTCCCCCTTGAGTTTTTTGGTTAACTTCTTGATATCCCATTCAGAACCAGCCTGGGATGGTACGAGAGGAGTGGATGGAGGAGTATCAGGTATCACATTTCCGTCTCTAATTTTCTGTTTATCTTCCACATGTAAACTGTCCACACAAGTAAGCATGGTAGAGGAGAAAGTATGTGAATGAGGAAAAGGGTGGTCTTGCCCAAAACACAAGGGCTCAGGTGCTGCATTATTCAAATTATGCTTCTTCACAGATTTGTCTTTAGCAACTTCCTTCAAATCAGGTTTCTGACCCCCAATTGTTGGACAAGGTTGCAGGGTCTCAAAAGAAAATCCATGAGCTATAGAAGCTTTACATTCTGGAACACAGTCCTTTCCTACTGAAAGTGAACAGTGTGGTAAGTGACCTTGAGCATCAAGAAATTTGGGGAATTTTTCCAAGGTCAACTGTGACTCTTCTCCCGGAACAGGCAAGTCTTCCTTGAGTTCAGCATTTTTATCTACGTTTGGGATCGCTGATTTGCTTTTATCGATGGAATGTTTAATAATAGACTTAGATAATCGATCAGCAAACATGTCCTTATTGCTAGCTTCGCCCTGTTGCACTGTTGCTTGATCAGAGTAGAAAGGAAGGGTTTTTCCCTTTACTGTTTTAATTACACCATCTGTTTGTTCATCAACTGTTTTTGTACCTTTGAATGATGTCATGGACTCTAAAGTCTCATTTACAATCGTATGCACCACTGCTGCAGAAAAGTTGCTAATAATCACAGGATCACTTGTTAATTTTGAAGAGCTGTGCACTTCAGTGTCTTCATTAGTTGGTTTCAAATCATTCTGGTTACCTGGACTGTGCTCTGAAGGTAAACAAATATTTCTGAGACACGCTACTTCCTCTTCTTTGTTTTTTGTGGTAGCATGCGTCTGGGTAGACTCGCCATTCAAATTACTATCATCAGATGACCGACGAGACTTTGACTGATAGATATTAGATGAAATATGATATGGGAGCAGGGCACTTCCTGCCAAGGGCACTGGTATGGAAGTAACAATTCCCGAAGTACAAAACAAGGCCTGCTGTACTGTGAATTCCTTTTTATGTTCCTGCATGGCTTTTGTCGCCGTAAGGGTCTGGTTGTTAAAAGCAGGGGAAAACATGGAGGTCTGTGTCAGAGGTGTTAAATTTCCTGCGCTCGCGTCCTTTATGTTATCTGTGGAAACACTAACTGCTGCCTTGGTTGCAAAGGTCACACCGGCTTGTGAAAGTTCGATGAACGCTTCCTGTATTACAGACTCAGACAAGTCTTTTGCGTAGGACTTCACTGCTTTGTCTTCATAGTCAAATGGCCAACACTGTGGGGATGAGGGTGTTGGAGGACAGGAAAACTGACACACTTCCATGATGCCTTCAAAAACTAGCTCTTCGGCTAGATCCGCAGCAAACCGAGCGACTGTGTTCGTGAATATCTGCTTTTTTACATACTGTAAATCCTTTAAAGCATTTGATAAAGCTTCACTCACCAAAAAATTAGCCAGACCACTAATGGCACGTTCTCTCAGTGAAAACGCACACTGCCTTCTCAGTTCGTTAAATGCCATCTGAAAAACAGAGGATGTCAATTTGATGGCCAGGTGGCACAACGCATTGGTACATGAAGAGACTCCTTTCTGTAGGTCTTTAAATGCACTGCCAAAACTTTTTTCCACAAGGTCTGAAGCAAATTTCTGAATACTATCTTTAATCATCAAGGATTTATTTTTAGATTTACTTGTTTCATCAAGGCTTCCACTGTTAAGAGCTATGGTTTTATTTCCTCCCTTCTTAACGCTATCAATGTTTGATGTTGCATTAGTACTCTGGGTATGAAGAACTGAGCCCAGAACCTCACATGAAATGCTATTTGCGTAATCCTCATAGGTGTAGTAAACAGAATCATGATTTTCATGAATCCTATCTCCACCAATATCTGTTTGGCAAAAAAATTCAGCAGGAGCACAGCTTCCAAGAGGACTAAAGGCAGAGGATCGAATAGGGCTAAACAGACCACTGTCTTCCCCTGACGCCTTCGCTGGGCGAGGTGAATCTGGGGCGTCACACAGGTTACCATACGGGGACTCTGGTTTACGAGGAGTTGGCTTTCTAACATTAGCTGGGAGAGCTGGACGCTCAAACTTGAATTTTTGAGGATTCATAGTAGTAGTTACAGAACAAGATTTTTCATGTTTGTGTCCTTTCTTTAGCGACGGCTTTCCTACCACAGGATCTTTTAGAAATGGACAAGAAGTCTCTAAAGTTTGTTCTACCTCATCAAACTGATCAAAACTATCAAAAAATTCACTTACTTCTGAGTCTGAATCCTCTATATCATCTTTCATCACAGGAATTTTAGGTAACTCAAGTTTTGCTTTTAGGCTTTTTTGATATCCTTCTTCATCCAAGAAAATAACAGGACTTGGACTTGAGCATTCGGATTCAGAGGAATAGGCAGGAGAAGAAGAAAAAAACGGTTTCTGTGTATCACTACCTTTATCTGAAGCATTAGATGATCTATAGAAACTCTTTTGGATCCAAGGCTCAGAAATTAATGTTGTGACTGAAGTTTTCACAGAAGGTAGTTCTTTATGTACCAGCATATTCATTAAGGAAGTTGAAGGTTTAGTCAATGACGTCTGCCTCCCAGAGCTAACCGGAATCCTGAAATCATGGGCTTCTGATTGGTGACCAGAAGTCTGAGAAGCAGCATCACACTGGCTCTTTAGTGCAGCAACATTTATTCCTACAGGAAAAGAATAAAGTGATCAAGTTATTCTTGAACAGAATCTTTTAAAAATTAATTCACTTCAATGGGAATAAGTAGACTTTAAGCATGAAATATTTATTTGTAACATAAATGACTTCTGCACTCTGTGGTTTACCAGAATCATCCTAAATGAATTTGAGAGCAAGTATACCTTTTACTAAAATAATTTCATTTTACCTCACACATGGGAATACCTGGATCTACAAAATGCTTAGCCTCTTACTGCGTGTGTTAGAAACACAAAAGTCGTCTCTCTGCCAGCTAACCCTCCTCAAATCTGAACCCGGGCATGGTCCAAACACTTAATGTAATGAAGTAAACAGTGCTTGAACAGTACTACCAAAATAAGAACAGAAACAGCAAAACAAAAAACCAGAGAACAGTGAACTTTAAAATCATAAGAAAAATGCCTTGCACAGTCAAAAAAACAAAAGGGTAGAATGTTTAAATTGCACCAAATTTCAAAATAAATTTCAATGGAACAAGTCAAATGAAACTGAACATTTTAAAACTGAATGTTTTAAAATTTAAAATTTCCTATTTCAAGAGAAAGGCTAGTAAAGAACAAACCATCATTAAACGGCTTTAAAGGCTCTTCTTCCTCTAAGTGCTCAAAAGCAGTGACAAAGTCATCTTCTATGGAAGACACGGACTGGTTGGTGTCGTCATCATCTTCTTGAGCAGTTTCAAGCTGGCACTTCTGATGCAAGTACGCGTCCAGGGTATATCTTATACCAGTAGCGTATTTACTTAGCAGGCTAAAGATAAAATCAATTCTGAGTCTTGGTAACGTAGGCGATACTCTCATGACACAGAGCATTCCAGAATGATGGCTCTTGGGGAAGATGAAAGATGAAAAACAAGTTTAATTTCAAAATGTATTATCCATACAAAGCATATTATTTGAAAAGTGAAGCCTAGAAATAACATCATCTCAGGAAAAAAAAGAAATGTGTGAATCCTGAAAGGCTTCCTGACCGTTCAATTCTCTTTGTCATCCTTTCTCTGCAACATTTCTCACTTCCCAATCTCTTTTTCTCCCAGTCTTTCTCTCATCCGGCATTCAAATCCACCTCTTCTACCTCCTTAAATGTTATAGAACTTACTACCTTTGCCCTTGGCAATTAAGTTTTCCTATAGGACTGTACAGCCCTGGGGGTTCCCTTGTTCATTAACCCAGCTCACCAACTATACGCTGTAAACTGCCTGAGGGCAGGAACCAAGTTCTATTTTTGTATCCCATTTTCCAGTAGCTTCCAGCTTGGTACCACCTCCTCTCCTATTATAAAGAATCTTCCCTTCCTTTTACCTAAATATCCCTTGTATTACAATTTACCCTAATGTTTACAGCTTTGATCAGGAATAGAAGTCATCAGATTTTTTCCATAATTATTGTCTTAACACAAATATTGACAAATGACTAATTGAAAAAGGTGGAGACTAAATAGCTAATCATCTCTTGTAATCCTTGCAAATAAAACAAAGTAAACATAAATGAAGACTATAATTAAGGAAAATGTGGCAAGCAGTTCTACTGTTAATCTGTAGACCTCAAAATGAACACAGTATTCTTTTATACTTGGAATAAGTAACCCAAATTGTAAACCTACTAATTCAATTTTTAGAAAGTGAAAAATGCAAAGCATTTTTCTTTGATGTATTATCAACAAAATAATACTCAGTATAGAACTGAAAGCTGAAGGTTATAAAACTATCTGTCTGAAATGGTGATATTTTATTTACAAATAAAGAACACGTCTTCCAATGTCCACTTTACACTGAATTTTTTTAACCTGAAAACAAGTTACAGTATATTCTCTAAAACACAGTATTTATATAAATTTGGAACTGGTCATAAAGGGGGGGAAAGGTAGAAGAAATTCAAGAAATCCAGAAATGTATTTTGTAAAAAAAAAAATTAATATATTTGCATTATCATTTAGGGAACTTCACGCATGAAAAAACTAATTTAAATCTATGGCCAAAATTATTTGATCCCCTTCAGTAATTTCAAAGCTTCATGAGTTATGTTTCTTATAAATCATATTTCCTTGAGATCGCATAAAAAAAAAAAAAAACTCCAAGCATTTAAAAGTTTAACACTGTCCATCAAACATCATTATAAAATTTGCTCTGAAAAACTCACTAGAAATGATACATAAAAGTTACCTGATTTAGAGGACCATTGTTTCTATCTGCTGATTTATTTATATCCTTCATACAAATAATTTCATTTTCGTTTAGACTGCAGAAGTGCAGTGAATTCAGAAGATCTGGAAGTTCCAAAGAAACTGCAGCTAAATCCTAATTTAAAACAATAATACAATAAATAATACTTTAAAAACAATTTTCTTAAAGTTTACTTACTTATTTTGAGGGACAGGAGAAGGAGGGGCAGGGAGGGGGGGCATGAAGAAGGGGCAGAGACGGGGGAGAGAGAGAGAATCCCAAGCAGGCTTCATAACCATCAGCACAGAGCCTGACACCGGTCTCAAACTCACGAACCGTGAGATCATGACCAGAGCCTAAGCCAGATGCTTAACCAACTGGGCCACCCATGTGTCCCCATACTTTTGTTAAGATTCCTGTAATGAGGGCTTTGTCTGAAAATCATAAGGTCCACTGGTGAATATAATTTCCAGTTCAAAATAGTTAACATAGGTAGTTTATCATAAACAATTTTTTAACTTAAAAATAAAATGTACTAAAATATTTTGATACTTGCTATTTCTATAGCCTTTTTAAGTACTGATATCAAGCTATAAAGCATTTTTCATGGTACTTCCTACATCCATGACAGTTAGGCTTTTAATAGTTTTTAGCTGCAAATGTCAACCTGCAATCTTCAGGTTAACCATGGAATTTTCCTACATATAGGGATTCCTCCCAATACAATGTACTTCTTGGAGCTTAAATTTTATACTTGTAAAATACAAATCTATTTTTCTTCCTTTCCTCTCCAACGTATTCTATTAGACTTAACTGAAAATTGTATAAAGATACAAAGAAAATAGATTTTTATTATTTTACTTGTTTGTATTTTTTATGTAAATATTTTACCCAGTGAAAGAATTATTAATGTCTTTGACCCCTCAAAGAGTACTTTCCTTTATGAACATGGCTTCATCAGTAACTCTTAAGGAGGAAGTAGAGTAAGAGAGAAATACTTTAGAACACTTCTCTTTTCAAAGCCCTATGTTCTCAGGAATATATCCTCTCTTGTGCTTTCTGTCTAAACTATTTCTATCAGGGGCACCTGGGTGGCTCAGTCAGTTAAGTGTCCAACTCTTGATTTCAGCTCAGATCATGATCGCACAGTTGGTGAGTTTGAGCCCTCCATTAGGGCTGACAGTGTGGAGCCTGCTAGGGATTCTCTCTCTCTTCCCCTCCCCCACACATGTGCGCGTGCACGCACACACACGCGCGCGCTCTCTCTCTCTCTCAAAATAAATAAACTTTAAGTAATTAAATAAAAATTATTTCCTTCAGGCAAGGGCACTATCAAAACACACAGCAGAATTTTCATTCATTACCACCTGATATGCATTAGTCATAAAGAAGTGAACTGTATTACCTCTTCTGTTAGGAGACACTTCACTACCACAAAAGGAAACACGTGGCAATCACAAATATTAAGCAGCTGCATAAGGTATAAAAAAAAAAAGGGTGCCTACCACATCCACAAGAGCTTCAACCCTCTTCATGTAACCGTGAAACTTTCCTTTGCTGATCATAATCTCAACTACCAGTCTCTCTAAATACCTGCCTAAATCAGGCTAAAATTTTTGCTTTAGTTAATCATTATTTTTACAAACTTCACTTTCTAAATTTAACACTATCTCAATTAAAAATACAAAAACCTGATGAGGTCAGATTTTAAGACCATCCAAATTAACAAACAAGTCTTACTCTCTTCATTATGCACAGAATGGAAGGAAAGTTCGCCTGCAGCTGGCAGGCTTCTCAGATAAACCACACTTGTGGTCTCCTAACCTAAAGCTGCTCTCTGTAACAAGAACACTCTGAAAATGCTAGAAGGGAAAATGTCCAAAACACACTCAAGAGCTGACTGCAAAATGTCATCTTTTAGCTTCAAACAGGAATGATAACAGAAGAATTTAATGTACATTTTGGGCGAATAAGGCAAATTTCATGATCTCAAAACCTGTTCCAAATAATCTCTCAGGATCTTTTCCAGTTCAATGAATCGACCATACCTGTATGTGAGCAGCATCTGTTTCTTCATTAAAACCTAGAAACGTAACCTGAATAAAAAAGGAGTAAATCTCCATTAATTTCAAGTTTTTAAGTCTTATCTCAATTAGATTATTGACAGAGCTGAGAAATAGAAAAAAAAAAGCACATAAAATGTTAAAATGCTGGCTGCTACATACAAATGTTGAATCATTATGTAGTATACCTGAAACTGATATGCCACGGGTCAATTATACCTCAATTAAAAATAAAAACATTTTTTAAATGCTGACAGTCTTGGATAAAATGATTACAATTTTCAAAGATCACCACAAAGCTTTTTAACCAAAGATGTGGCTCCATAACGCGGTTCTTCAACCTTCCCCACGTCCACTCCTTTAGCAAATGCAATCAGTTCTACTCCACGAACCCATCTCCCATATATCCACGTCTCTCCATGCCCCTGCCACCACTTCTCTGCACGACTGTCCTGTCCCACCTGGTCTCAGTAGTGACGTCACCTCCTTGTCAAAACCCTTCCATGCCTCCCACTGCAAAGTCCTAACTGAGGCCCCACGGCTCTGGGTTAGCTGGCGCCTTCAACCTTTCCTCACTTACATTCATACACATAGGTCCCCTTTCTGGGTCCGGGACATGCTAAGGGCTTTGCGGTAATGCTCCTCAACCTGGATCACTGCTCCTCAGACACTTCCATGCCTTGCTCCTCCTCCTTCTTCAAGCTCCAACTTAAATGTCACCCCCTCAGAGAGGCCTTCCCTGGGTAGGCCTCCGAAACTCCTTCCTGACTCCCTGTGATATTATCACTTCTTTCCTTCAACACCTGTATATACAGATTTCTCTGCAGAAGTTTATATAAATTAAATTTCTAAAGAATATCTAATGGCATGAGAAAATGTCACATTAAGTAAAAAGGACAAGTTATAGAAAAAATGATACAGGTATGTATACAATTTCAACCTTATTTTTAAAAACATATGCATAAAAAATAGTACTGGAAGGCAATACACCAAGTAAAAGCAGTGATTAACTCTAGATGATAGGATTATAAATGTTATTTTTTTTTTTTACTTTTTTTCCACCATGCTTTCCTTTCCCCTAATTCATAAGATTCATTATAGGCATTCTTTTTCATGATTTCAGTATCTCTTAATTTTCTATAAACATTATATACTACTTTTGTAACCCCCCCAAAAGTATTATTTTTAAAATTTATATTATCTTTATGTCTTTAACATCATAGGAAGAAAACTTTCTATCTGAAGACAAAATGGCACACTATCTACTAAACAAGTACTGTGACTAAAAATATGAAATACTTAATAGCAATATGGATAATCAATTCTCAAGAATTATGGGAAAGTAGCACAGTTAAAACAGAAAGCAACACTCAATGTACTTTTGATCTCTTTCTGATGAGTCACAACCATGTCACAACACTGTATTACCCCGGGACCCTTATCCTGACATGGTTATTACTTCCCACAGTGTTACAGTTAATTCTAGGGTTCTAGGTACACTGTTCAGCTCCAAGAGCCAGTCTCCTCATCTATAAAACTTAAAGCAATACAACTCCTCTTCCAAGGTCGGGAGGGTCAATAAGACGATGTGGAGGAAACTGCACACTCTGTTAACAAAGAGACACTTAAAAACAAGCTTCCTTTCTTCAAAAAAATACTTTGAGCTATGCACACCCTCAAGTGAGACAGAAATTGCTTCCCTTCTTTCAAATTTCCTTTTATTGGATATAAAAGAGAAAATAAGCTGACATGGGGTTTTGAAGATGCCAGTAGTTTTATATTTCCCATTGATCAAGGAAGGCCTCGCCAAGGAATGTGGGCTCGGAAAGGCACTACGTCAGCAGCTGGTGAAAACTGAGGGCAGAAGGACACAGGAGACCTGTCACACTTGGCAACAACTGAGGAGATTAAGGGTGGCTTGGCTTCACTAAGTAAACCGGAAGGGATAACAAACAAGATAACAGGCATGAGGCACAGAAATCAGCAGACGCAAACAGGAAAGGCTCGGGTCGGAGAACACTACAGGCCTAAACGGTATGCTCATCAGCCTGTGGAACTAGCTCAAATATAGTCCAAGGAGTATGGAAGAAAAGCATTCCCCAAAATAAGAAAATCCAGATTTTTTTATTAGATCCTTGGTTTCAAAAAAAATTTTTTTTTAACTAACATACTTCTCAGTTTTGTGCTTGAATAACCTAATACCTTACTTCTCTCACCTGGTAACATGAATGTGTTGATTGACTATAGCTATATTGCAAGAAAAAATTTACTATTTTTCACAGTAATAAATCCAAACAAAGATGGAAACATGGATGTAGGTGAGCAAGTAGTAAGTATATCTAATTTCAAAATAAATGTATCACTACTTTTTCATTTTGTATCAAAGTGCTGAATTTAAATAACCAAGAAAACTAACAATAGCCAAAAAAATGAATATAAGAAAATAGTATATATTTCATGTTTCAGAGTAGAAAACCTTAATATTAAAGTATCAATTACTGAATATAGCAGGAATCATCTAAGATAGTGCTGTTTGCCCGATGAGGGATCAACCATGCCTGTGCACTCAATTAAACGTGATTATAATACACTAAGACAAGTATGTTAGCAGATATTTAAAACAGGGACTTCTCATACATGAATTAATATGTAGAGATTTTTAAGCAATTTAAAAATAGATAATGCAGCTTTACAAAGAAGCATGAGAATACATGAAAATACACTGTGTTTTATTAGGAAAAGACATAGAGAGGATTATGTCAAACCTCAGTCAAACTGGCATGTTCATCCTGCCTTAAACAGTCCTCTGCTGATACACTGCATAGTTCCTTCTCACTCTGTAATAAAGACTTGACCGACTGGAACACATCTTCACTGAAGCTCTGAAAATAAAAGATACTCTTAATTTAGTTAATTCTTAGACAAAGTAAAAGATCCCAGAGATAGTCTACTTTTAAATGTATAGTCACTAACTCTCCAATTAATATTCATTTGATACTTATGGATATCTACAGAATTCAATTCAGCTCAAAACACACACACCATAGCCCAGGCATTCAACCTACTAGAAGCTCATGAGGCCCTCACACTATGTACATTTACACCTATCCTACACTAAAATCCAACAGACTACATACCTGATTTCCAAGTCATTGGCAGAACAGAAGCAACAATTTATATAAGGAGTGAGATGATGTGGAAACTATAATAAGGCATGCTAACAAAAGTGATTACTCTCATAACAAAGCTGGAGATAGAAAAAAAGAGAATAATCTGAACCAAGGCTTTTCAGGGTCTTAATGCAGCAAGATGGTAAAATGAGGTAAGGCTTTCTAGATTTGGTAGAACAGTCACAGTGCAAAGGAACAGATGGAGGAAAAAGTTACATAAAGAAAATAAGGAGTATGACAGTCAGACATAAAGAGAACAATTTCCTTCTACCACATTCTCCTTCCACTGATTTGCTGATCAGCTCTTCTATCAGAACTGTCCTTACTCTCTAATCTTCCCCTGTAGAAATCCTACCCAGTCCAAAACCTATAACGATTTTCCCACCCCTTAGTTATAATAAATCACTTCACTCAAAGACTCTACTGTATTGTCTGCACATTGAGATCATTAAGTCTGTATCACAACATATCACCATTACTGTTTTTACATATACTGGTCTTTCCTACCATTAAACTAAATTATTAAGGTCACAGACTATATTTTATTCCATGTTTCCTCAAATTTCAGTACCTCACATACTATATGAACTCAATAAATGTTTGCTAGTTGTAATAAATTAGAAATTAGTGGAAATATTTGCGTTGAGAGATACACATAATATGGAAACAAAGCAGTTAAGAAAAAAATGTAATGTTAAATTTGAATACGAATTATCAATATGAATTCATGATTCTTTAAACACATGTACTACATTTTTCCATTAAAAGATCACAGATGCAGGGCGCCTGTGTGGCTCAGTCGTTTAAGGGTCTGACTCTTGGTTTCAGCTCAAGTAATGGTCTCGCAGATTTGTGGGTTCCAGCCCCACATTGGGCTCTGTGCTGGCAGTGAGGAGCCTGCTTGAGATTCTCTCTCTTCTCTCTCTCTGCCCCTCCCCAACTTGTGCTGTCTCTCTCTAAATAAATAAATTAATTAAAGAAAAAGAAAAAAGATCACAGAAGCAATGACTCTCAGTAGTAATAAGCATGGCCAGCACCCAGAGTTTGGTTTCTAAATACCATTTGCCAATAAAAGAACTAGAGCTCCTTGGGAAAATGGCTGGTTCCAAGCTGGAGGGAGAGAACGTATGATGTGTGAATGGAACATCTTAATTGTGAGAGAAAGCAGTGAAGATCTCAGGAACTAAATGAGTCATTTCAAAAGAACACAGAAGCAACAGGCGAAGGGGATAAAGAGCACACTTACTGTGATATGCACTGAGTGATGTACAGAACTGTTAAATCACTAAATTGTGTACTTGAAATATAACACTGTATGTTACTTTTTAGTTCCAGTATATGTACATACATACACTGTATGTATATACACTGGAATTAAAAAAGAAAATAGAAGCCAACTTGAAGGAATTCCTACTGGCCAAATTTGGGCATCAAAAAAATAAAAATGGTTAATGGATTATAACAACTAGATTTTTTTTAAAACTTTATGAATCCATTAAAAGAGATGAAAGGATGGGGGTCTGGGGAAAACATTTCTATATACAAGAATGCTGGATAACAAATATGGAAAGAATAACAAAATTTAAAAATGTCATTTGTAACTCCCGACGTAAGCAGTGATTTAGGGAAAGATTATCAATGTATCCTAATCACTGGGCTAAAAGATACTAGAGAACAAGATACTCTCTCTCAGCATCATCCTACAGATTACTTAACTGTACTAATTACAAAGGATATTGGAGATATCTGGTGATACTGGGGAGGGGAGGACCAAAGAGACAAAACACCTGAATAAGTGTGAACCTTGACTGGATCCTAGATGAAGAACAAAGTAAGAGTATCAAGGATATTTGAGACAATTAGGGAAATTTGTAATATGGACTGCATGTTAGATGATGCTACTTAATTAATAGTTTTCTGAGGGGCTCTAATGATGCTGACGTTCTTAAGAGATGCTTGCAGCCTACTCTCACATGGTTCCAAAAGGGAAGTACGTTTGTATGTGCACGTGTGTTCATACACACACACAGATAGAATGGGTATGGCAAAATGTTAACAGAGGGTGAACCTAAGTGAAGAGCACGTATAGTGTTTATTGTTCAGGGTTTTTTTTTTCTCAACTTTTCTGTGGGCTTAAAAATATTCTATGGGGCACCTGGGTGGCTCAGTCAGTTAAGCATCTAACTCTTGATTTTGGCTCAGGTCATGATCTTGTGGTTTGTGAGATCGAGGCCTACACTGGGTCTACACTGGCAGTGTAGAGCCTGCTTGGGATTTTCTCTCTCTCTCTCTCTCTCCCTGCTCTTCACCCCCACTCTCTCTCTCTCTCAAAATAAATGAAAATAAACTTTAAAAAATATATTCTAAATTTTAAATGATTTTGTTTTCATTAATGAGTGGAGGTTTTCAGGCTAACATACAAACAACTCAAAAAAAGGAAAAAATCTGAAATCTGAACCTGAACTACTGAAACAAATTCATGACACTGAAGGGGCAATGGGCACTCCTAGTACCCAGGGTACTTGGTTTCTAAATTCTATTCAGGGTTCTTTGGAAAAATAGCCAATTTTGGGTCTGAGGAAGGGTAAGTAGATGGTGAAACTGGGTCAACCTGTTATACTAGAAAGTAGCGAAGCAATCAAAGAATTAAGAGCCTGAGACAAAAGGACATAGGCACCAGCCTAGAGGGGCTCCCAAGGACCAAGTTTGAGATCCTCTGAGCAACTTAAATTTATAAATGACTATAAATAAAAGATTGGAAAATATAGAATTTTTAAATCCATGAGTCCAGAGCAATACAAATGAATGAGTGGATTAATGAGTGAATGAATGAAAATAAAGTCCATTGCATATTCCACCAAATCATTAATCTGAAAATTGGTAATTCAAGGGCATTTACCATGCTTTATAGGAAATACTGTAGTTCCTTTAACCTTAATGAGAGAAAGCTTTTCTTTAAGAATTCTAACTAATTGGGGCGCCTGGGTGGCTCAGTGTTAGGTTACGCTTCTGACTTTGGCTCAGGTCATGATCTCACAGTTTGTGAGTTGGAGCCCCACATCCGTTCTGTGCTGACAGCTCAGAGCTGGAGCCCGCTTCAGATTCTGTGTCTTCCTCTCTCTCTGCCCTCCCTGCATTCCACCCCCCCATACTCTGTCTCTTTCAAAAATAAATAATAAACATTTTAAAAAGTTTAAAAAAACTCTAGCTAGTAAATGTAAAACGAATGATAACATTAGGAAAATCATCCTTTTGCAGCTTTCAGGAAATAACAGATTCTGGGAAGAGTCGTCAAGGATGCCAAAAATATCAGATAAAAGGTAGCTGGAAAAAAGATATTTGCACACAGCCAAATATCACCTCATAGAAAATATAAAATACACTTTTAAAATGGACAGTTCCGGCAAAGTGACTATTTTCATCAACTGATCAATTTTTGTATCACTGATCACAGGAAAACCTGAAATTCTGTCCTCACATCATTCTATAAAGTATTCTTGCCAAAATGCTTAACCTGAATCTAAATCAAGCTTTTATACCTAGCTTCTAGAGTCTGTAAAATGGAGAGGGAAAGAGGAATAAGTTAAATACCACTGTGAGAAAACCAGAGAGATCCAAAATGTGGGACATTGTACAAGAAACTGGTCCAGCCTGTTGAAAAAGTCAGTCTTGAATTTTAATACATAAAAAAAAGAGGAGAAGCTCTCAGACCAAAAATAACATAAATAAGTCATAATCATCAAGTGCAACTTAAGGCCTAAAAGCCTAGATTGAATCCAAAATGGGAATGTGGTTGGGGGTGAGGAGGACTGCAAAAGAGATTTTAAGGGTAATAAACGAAATCTGAGTATGTCAGGGTATTGGATATTAGGGAATTATACTTAATTTTCTGAATGTGATAATTATACTACTGTTAGATGATAACTATATTATTGTTATGTGGGAGAATACTGTTCTCCCTGGGAGAAGCACACTCAAGTATTCAGGAGTGAAGAGATATTAAGACCATAACTTTCAAGTGGCTCTGCCAAAAAGCAAACACACATGTGCATGCACACAAAGAGTAAATAAAACAATACAGTTGACTCTTGAACAACACGGTTTGAATTGCATGGGTACACTTACATGTGGATTTTCTTTTCAATGAACATAGTACAACAGTGTAAGTGTATTTTTTCCTCCTCATGATTTTCTTAATATTTCCTTTTCTCTAAATTTTATTTTAAGAATACAGAATATAATACATCTATAAAATATGGGTCAATCAACTGCTTAAGTTATTGGTAAGACTTCAGGTCAAGAGTAGGCTGTTAGTGGTTAAGTTTCTGGGGAACAAAAATCTGTACATGATCTCTGACTGCACAGGGAGTTGATGCTCTTATCTCCGACGCTGTTTAAGGTTGACTATATTAACAACTGTTGAATATAGTTGGTTCGTATGAAAGTTTACTTGTAGGTGTGCTATGAATTTAACTCTTCTATATGCCTGAAATTTTTCATAATAAAATATTAGGGGAAAAAAGGTCAAGAAATGGAAAGGTTACCAAACTGAAAGAGGGTTCTTCCTCCAACTAAACAGAAAGGATGAGGAATCATATTTATTTTGCTTACTACTGACTATCCAATACCTAGCAAAGCACCTGACATATAATAAACACTCAAATTTATATTTGTTGAATGAATGAATGAATAAATGAAAAATGGTAATATTTGGGGGTAAAAGGTACACAAGAAAATGTATACCTGATGTTTATATTGCTAAAAAATGGAAGATCTTGAGAAGATAAAAGAGAAAAAACTATCTGTTGAGAAGAAATAGGGGGGCATTGCAATCTTTGGGAAGTAAGGTTGACTGTCTTCATGACCTCATATAACTATTTCCATATATGCCAATCTTTGCAAAATTTGAATATTACTAATTACAATATTGAGATTCATTTAAAACTAAAAATATCATAGCTGCTTAACAAGATTTTTAAAAATGATCGTTTTTATTAAAACTATCACTAAAAGAAACTGAACATAGTGAACTTACTTTTCTGACAGATGCTCTAGTCTTCATGTGACTGTTTCTCAAAGTCTGGAAGGTTGCCATAACTATATTGCTGTTGTGTGTAATCAATGAAGAATTAGTCCATAAAACACCTAAAGAAAACACATTAAAAGAAAAACACTGATTTTAGTGAGTAAGGTATTTTTTTCCTAAAACAAATTATTCAAATTCAGTCATTTAACAAAATTAAAACATAAAACAAAAATTCTGAGACATAATAAATTATTGTAAAGTAGCTTACCCTTATTTATTCAATCTCACTGCCTTCGTGGGGATTTGTTTTACACATAAGAAAATACTTGAAAGTCTTAATTAAGAAGTGTTTAGAAAAACTTTTAAAATCTAAAAGAGTGAATATTACAAAAATATCTGAGCCTTCTTGCCTCCCAAAAGTCACTCTAACCCTATGTCAACTGTGAATGTATGAATGCTTTACACTTTCTTATTTCTTGGGTAGAAATATTTGATAATAAATGAGAATATGAAATCTGTGTAGATCAAATAAAATCACACAAACAAAAACAAATTCTTATTTAATCCTATTAACAACATACCAATGAGTAGAGTTAAAAAAACATCCAAGTTAATGATTAATAAGACTACTTACAACTCACATACACACACACACACACCCTGGAACAAACTTTAAAACTAAAGACTTAAACTTTTTATCAATATTATAAGGAAGTACCTTTGAGAGCTTAAATCAACTTAGGCATTAACCACTCAATATTCACATCTGTCCACAGCACCTATCCATTTAAAATCTACTTGCACTTGATGTTACAGATACAGGGGAGAATAGAGCAATACGGCCCTTGGGTTCAGAGCCTTGGAAGGAAAATATTTTATTATAGTAAAGAATGAGAATAGGAACTGAATTCTAAATCCCTAAAAAAATTTGCATCAATAAAGATTTAAGAAACCTATTTATTTAGTTTCAACTAAACTGGCCTTACCAACAATTAACCTAGTTGAGGTTTTCAAGGCATCTCATTAAATGTAAGTTTACACTATGAAGAGATTTATATTCAAAACCAAACATCAACTAGTTTCCAACAGAACTGCAAAAACAAAAACAAAAACAAAAAAAACACCTTAAATTCTAGCGGAGTTCTAATTTTATATTCTTTCACTGCAGAGATCAAATCAAAGTGTGTGTGCATGTGCACACACTCCTACCTCCCTCCAGAAATTTCTAGATTCTAATTTTTTTTATTTATTTAGAGAGAGAGTATGCACAAGTGGGGGAGGGGTAGAGAGAGAGGGAGAAACAGAATCCTCCAATCTGGGACTCAAACCTACAAACCATGAGATCATGACCTAAGCCAAAGTCCCATGCTTAACCAGCTTAGCCACCAAGGTGCCCCTGGATTCTAATTTCTAATGAAGAATGTTGAGGCTATTCTATTTTGAACTAGGATAAATCCTAGTGAACTCTTTAATAATAAAATTTGATTAATGACTAGAATTGAAGTAGGACTGTGAGAAAGGCAAGGAAATTCCCAATAGTACAAGATAACGAGTCATATACCAGGACTCAGAAGAGTGCCGTTTGTGTCCTGTTGTGCCTCTCATTAGCTTTCTTTCCTCCAGGTAAACTGCAATATCTCTGGATCTGTTTCTTCCAAGTACACATCAACTTACTTACTAGAGAAGTTTACTGAAGAATGAAATGGAAAATAATTTATAGGAGGCATTTCGGAAACTATAAATCATAGGCAAAAGAAAAATTAAAATATTTACTTAAGGACCAAAATGATCAAGGAGGCCAAATTCTCAAAACAAGGTATAAATACAAAAGTTTATGTGGCCAAAGCAAGACAAATAATCCTTTTTATTTTTCTCAGAGCAATTCACTCTCCTTTTTACCCATAGAGTTCTGTTCAACTGCCAGAAACTCTCAGAGGCCAAGGGACTTGCCTTAAGTACCACATAAAATACAAAGGCTAACACAAGGGTTCCAGAAAAGGAAATTTCTCAGACTTGGCAACTGAGTCAACAGGCATCTCTCTGGTGGGCAACTGTGTAATGCAAACCTAAACCTTGAAGATATTCCTATGCTACGATGCAACAATTCTACCTCTGGGAACTTGTCAAAGAAAACAAAGATCCTGGAGCATCTAGGGTCCTAGTGAGAGCTGCTAAGGCACCAAGTGCTTTTAAGAGATTGACATCAACATCTCATTTAATCCTTAGGACTCGTAGAGTAGATCTCTTCCAGTATTACAATGAGAAAATCTGAGGAATGGACAAGTGAAGCAACTTGCTCAGGCCCACACAGTAAGCAGCAGAGTGGAGATTCAAATCCAGACCTTCAAACTCTAGCACCCAGGCTCTTAACCAGTATAAAGGTTTGAAAAAGTGTTCATCACACTGTATGCTGGAGAGAAATAAGCACTCTAGATGCCAGAATCAGGAGAGTGACTGAGTAACTGAGATGCAGTCCCTGGTGATGCAAACATGTTAAAAATAACACTGAAGGGGGCGCCTAGGTGGCTCAGTCTGTTAAGCGTCTGACTTCGGCTCAGGTCATGGTCCCCCAGTTCATGGGTTCGAGCCCCACGTCAGGCTCTGTGCTGACAGGTCAGAGCCTGCTCTGGATTTTCTGTCTCCCCTCTCTCTCTCTGCCACTCTCTCTCTGAACATTAAAAACAAACAAAAAGCAACAAAAAAGCAAAAACACATCTCTTCTTAAAAACAACACCAACATGGCCGGAAGGAGGAACAGAGCACAAGGCATCTTCCCCTTCTCCCTCCTGAAAGGGCAGAGGTGGGGAAGGACATGGGAAAAAGCACTCACCTCTGCAGCTGCTGACTAAAGTCAATAATGAGCAATGGCTACACACTAACTCAGGAAAGAAGGTGACCAGTTATTTAGATGAGCTGCTCACCAAAAGGTGCTGTGACATGCTGTGCCCCTGAGGCACACACACACACACAAAACAGTGACAAGGAGGTTGGGGGAGGCCAGGGTGCTCTGAGACAGCATCCCGGATTTGACACCTCTAAGTTACCCCCCGCGCTCTCCCTACAGTACTCCTGAGTAACAGGCCGGGCAGCACACTCTTTTCACAGTTGAGTACTAAAGCAAATAGAATCCAATATTCAACAAACCCATGGAGGAACATTAAAAACACAAAGTAAATATATACTAAAGACCAAAAAAAAAAAAAAAAAAGCCCAGACAAATATAATCATGATAATCATGCCACCCAAAACTCATATAATGTATTTTCAGAACACTACCTCAGAATGTATATTAATAAAAACAAAACTATATTTTGTTCCATATCTTTGCTCATTTTCTGAACCCTACTCCATCACTTTGTGTTTAACTTAATACAGGAGTAAAATATTATGTCGCAAAGGGAAAAATCTAATCTATCAGAGGATCATCTTTGCAACAGCCCATCCAAGTGAATCCAACGTGAGGCAGTGTGACTCATATCTCTGGCAAAGCAAAGAAAAAATAAATGTATGTTTGGAAATAATACGAAGACAGATGGAGGACAAAGAGCAACAGAGCAGAGTTTCTTCACCATCTTATATAATTAGGGAGAACGTAGTTTTAGACAGATTTCACAAGAGGGGCAAAACTACAGTATTTTCCCTTCAACACCTTTGTGTTTTCACTCAATGCTTTTCACTGAACTTTTCACTGAATGTTTTTTTGATTTGTGCCCAATTATGGATAAATAAACAAGAGTCCTAAGCAGGGAATAACTAAGTGTGTTGCTCTACGATCAAAGAAATTAGAGTGAATCCAGATCATTCTTTGAAAGCAGATCAGAGACAAGAAAGTACAGACAGACAAGGCAGACAGCTGAAAAGTAAGCTGCTAGAGCTCAGTGAAGACACAGGATACAAAGACAACACCATGGAATAATTGAAATCCGCTCAGATGCAACAAAAAAGCAGAACGAGTATTGCTAAAAACACTGGAACACCAAGGGCGTCTTAAGAAATATCACAGAATAAAAACAGATGAAAGCATTGGAGAAACAATTATGAAGAGTATAGAAAACAGACAGATGGGGCACTTTGAATAAATTACACTTATCTTAGGATCCTGTGATTTCCCTTCTTAAAATTTATCCTACATACACACTTGCACAAAATTCATAAAGATATATGTGAAAGAATATTCACTGAAATAAAAAAAAGCTAAAAATAATCTAGAAGCCCATCAATTCAAATAAATTATACAGCGTTCGTATGACTGATTTTTTACCAGCTGTTGGAAAGAGCTAGATGAATACACACTGAGGTGACAGCATTACCACAAAATATTAAGGGAAAATGCAAGTTGCACAACAGAGTAAACAGTATGCTCTTTACCTGTCATTAAAAAAAAAATTTGCATACACAACTCTGTGTGTATATTTGCATAGGCCTAGGCAATGCTAAAATGGATAGAGACCAAACTCATGATAGGGGTCATTCATGACAATTGGGACTTATTTTAATGTTATGAAATGTCACATACCTATAATATGGGAAGATGATCCATTGTTAAGTAAAAATAAGCTTCCACATGTTCAAAGTATCCCATTTTTGGGTAAAACCTGTATGACTACATGTGTGTATTTATATATGCAACGTAAAAGAGAACATATACTAAATGGGTATAAACATTGCTTTTTTTTTTTTTTTTTTTTTACCTGAGTAGAAGCAATTACATCAGTTTATTCTTCTGGATGTGCAGAGAGAGGTTCTTTGAGAATCAGAAAACAAGTATTTCCCACGTCTTTCCTCCTCTCATCTGGCCTAAGAAATTTTCAAGTTGGCATCATCGATTTCCTGACGTTTTTATAGCATGAGTTGAGAGAGCCAAGGAATCTCTGAAACCCCTTCCTTGTCTTCTATCAACACGCTCATCCTATCCTGACTCTCTTCCTGTGACACTGGGTCTCAAACTTCAATGCACGTGCGGATCAGCTCATTTCTAACCCGCCCCCGCCCCTTGAATATCCAGATTCCAGAGGTCCACATGTAGCCCTGCAATCTGTATCTTTAACAAGTACCCTCTGTAATTTCCGAATGAGAAACACTTATCTCTCTAGCTATGACATTAGTCTCCTTTTCTAAACTTTTTCACAACTTGTTACTCAACTGCTAACATTTCTCATCTTCATCCTTGTCCTTTGTGGTATTCAGTCTACCTAGTTTTCCTAGGATATTCAATCTCTACCTCTGATTTTAACTGTGCAAATACCTCCCTAATGTCTATCTCCAGTTCAGCGCCTGCACCTGTGTTTCAGTTCCTTAGGTCCAATTTTCTATTCGATACTTTCAACTAAATATCCCAAAATGGGTACGTCCAAAAACTGAATAAAACTCTCTCTAAACAATCTCCTTCTGTAGAGCCAGCAAATCAACTGGGCCAGCAGGCTAAGCTGGAAACTGGTTCTTCCCTCAATCCCTACAGACTACCACATCTAGTCAGTCACCAAATCCTAGCCTGTCACCCGCCTAAGCTTCCCTCAAACCTACCCTCTCTTCCATCAGCTAAACTGTTACTTACTCTTCACGCATCAGTTCAAGGACCTCTTTCCTTGAGGAAGACTTGGCTCATCTTATCAACCCCTCCTTGTCCAAACAGCAGCCACCTCCTTTGTGCTCCCAAAGCAAGGTTTTTTCCTGCTTCCTTCCTCTTGTGAATTTCTTGAGGACAAAAATGTTTTACTGTATTTACATTCTAACACAGAAGGCAAACCAAACATGTCCTGAATTAATATATAAAAAGTCTTTGGAGAGGAAAATATACCTCCAAATGTTTAAATGGGTACTTCTATATTTAATGAATCATTTGTAAGAATCTAACTAAAAGATTCTAGTAATTTCTAATTTTACAATATTTGATAACACAATAAATGCTCCAAAAACACAGGCTGGCCAAATTCCAAATGGCCAAGTGTTAAAGACTAATATTTTGTTAAATATAAATACAACAAAGCAGGGCAAAACATGGAAAACATTGATTTCCAGCCATCAGACCCTAGGTAACCCAGGCCTATGAGTGCCGAAAGAAGGAAAATACTGGCTGCTGGTCACAGCACAGAGGGGAGAATGCCAAGCAGTCTACCAGTCTCGGCAAGTTGCAGAGACAGAGATGAGAGTCTGGGAAGGCCAAGGTGGCTAGAATGCACAGAGTAGGGCACTGGAGAGAAACCTCACAAAGGCCGAGAGCATCAGAGAGTTGCAGAGGGTTCTTCCAGGGCTCTTGGTCAAATACCGATCAATGCCAAGTGTCAGAGGCTGGGGAAATAACTACCAGATAGCAGTAGGCCAAATAACACCTGAAGCCAGACAGGGCTTGGAATAATCTACACTCCCAACAACTAGAGTGGAAAAAAACTGTGTAATTTATCAGGCAACAGACGGGCTCCTCAGAAGGAATTAACCTTAGCTGGGGACTAAGAGAGCACAACAGTGAGCCTTTTCTGTAGTTGCACTGACAAAGCTCAAAAGCAAGAAGCAAGCCTCAAAAACAATCTGTCAGATTCCAAATAACCTGTGATTCCCCCCCCCAACTAAATCCAACACTTAAAAAATACGACAAAACTGAAAAAAAATACAACAAAATCGATCAAGCAACAGCAAAAACCTGAATGGCCAGCACAAAGTCAAAAATTACCAGTGGAGGAGAAAAATATGACC